GGGCGCTGGAAAGAGCATTTTGAGGAGCTCCTGAATCCGACCTACACGCCCTCTAGTATAGAGGCAGAGCTGGAGGCTGATGGAGGGTCATCGTCAGTTTCCCTGGGGGAAGTCGCTGAGGTAGTCAAACAACTCCACAGTGGCAAAGCCCCAGGGACTGATGAGATTCGTCCAGAAATGCTAAAAGCTTTGGGTGGGGAAGGGCTGTCTTGGTTGACACGCCTCTTCAACATTGCATGGAAGTCTGGGACAGTGCCAGAGGAGTGGCAGACCGGGGTGGTGGTTCCCCTCTTTAAAAAGGGGGACCAGAGAGTGTGTGCCAATTACAGAGGTATCACACTCCTCAGCCTCCCTGGTAAAGTGTACTCCAAAGTGCTGGAAAGGAGGGTTCGGCCAATAGTCGAACCTCGGATTGAAGAGGAACAATGCGGTTTTCGTCCTGGCCGGGAACCACGGACCAGCTCTTTACTCTCGCAAGGATCCTGGAGGGGGCCTGGGAGTATGCCCATCCAGTCTACATGTGTTTTGTGGATCTGGAGAAGGCGTATGACCGGGTACCCCGGGATCTTTGTGGGAGGTGCTGCGGGAGTATGGGGTGGGGGTCTCTTCTCAGGGCCATCCAATCTCTGTACGCTCAAAGCATGAGCTGTGTCCGTGTCCTCGGCAGTAAGTCGGATTCGTTCCCGGTGGGGGTTGGCCTCCGCCAGGGCTGCGCTTTGTCACCAATCCTGTTTGTAATATTCATGGACAGGATATCAAGGCGTAGTCATGGGGGGGAGGGGTTCCCGTTCGGTGGGCTGATGGTCACATCACTGCTTTTTGCGGATGATGTGGTCCTGATGGCCTCATCGGTCGGTGACCTTCAGCACTCACTGGATCGGTTCGCAGCCGAGTGTGAAGCGGCTGGGATGAGGGTTAGCACCTCTAAATCTGAGGCCATGACTCTCAGCAGGAAACCGGTGGAGTGCCTACTCCGGGTAGGGAATGAGTCCTTACTCCAAGTGAAGGAGTTCAAGTACCTCGGGGTCCTGTTCGCGAGTGAGGGAACAATGGAGCAGGAGTTTGGTCGGAGGATCGGAGCAGCGGGGGCGGTGTTGCATTCGCTTCACCGCACCGTTGTGACGAAAAGAGAGCTGAGCCGAAAGGCAAAGCTCTCGATCTACCGGTCAATCTTTGTTCCTACCCTCACCTATGGTCATGAAAGCTGGGTCATGACCGAAAGAACGAGATCGCGGGTACAAGTGGGTTTTCTCAGAAAGGTGGCTGGCCTCTCCTTTAGGGATAGGGTGAGAAGCTCAGTCATCCGAGAGGAACTCGGAGTAGAGCCGCTGCTCCTTTGCATAGAAAGGAGCCAGTTGAGGTGGTTCGGGCATCTTGTAAGAATGCCACCTGGGCGCCTCCCTAGAGAGGTGTTCCAGGCACGTCCAGCTGGGAGGAGACCTCGGGGAAGACCCAGGACTAGGTGGAGAGATTATATCTCCACACTGGCCTGGGAACGCCTCGGGATTCCCCAGTCAGAGCTGGCTAATGTTGCCCGGGAAAGGGAAGTTTGGGGTCCCCTGCTAGAGCTGCTACCCCCGCGACCCGACCCCGGATAAGCGGTTGAAGATGAGATGAGATGAGACTGGAAAGCGCCTTGTGCACCTTTTGGCTTTTGTAAGGCGCTCTACAAATAAAATTTGATTGATTGATTATATCGCTAAAGATATGTTGCCAATAAACAGCGTCACCAAAGAGGGATTTAAGAAATATATAATACGCTTGACAGTATGTTATACCATCCTGCACATATTAGAGCTGTATGGAAAATGCAGATCTAAGATTGAAGCAGAGCTGTCGCTTGGAATACTATGCAGACTTGTGGTCCAGCAGGACAACAGAGCCCTACATGAGTCTGACGGTACGGTCTGATGGAATGGTAATTATTGACTTTAGCCTGGATTGATGGCTCGAAATATCGCAATATATATCGTTGGGAAAAAAATATCGCAATGTAATTTTTTCCAATATCGTGCAGCCCTAATAAAAATATACACACACACCTCTCTCTCTCTCTGCATTTTTGATGTTTTTTAATCCATTTTAATAAGGAGGTTTTGCAGAAGAATCTGAAATCTGTAATTTTTCTATAAATAAACACATACATCCAAGTAATTACTGCAAAGCCACCTTGTTTGTCTGCTACACTTTCGTGAGACTGGAAGCAGGAAAACAGTCTCGGCGTATGTTCACGAGCCACCGTTTTCTAAGGTCGACAAGGTGTGAAAACTTAAAATTGTTTTGAACTTTGAACAAGCAGTACATAGTGGAACTCAACCAAATTCAAAATAAATCTAAAAACAGTTTGTTTTGCACACTTTTTGCAAGGCTCATCTGGATCGAGATACAATGGTGCTGGTCGTAGCGGAAATGAGTTATATGTATTAATATAAAGTGGAAGTGCGGCAAGAGGCTCAGTGCAAGTAGTCCAGTGCTCATACATTTGCATTACTGCAAATTAAGTTATTAGTCATTAAGCGATTGTAGTAGTCTAAGCGATTGTTAAACGTTAAAAAGTGTCTAAAAATGCATCGTACACATTTCAAGAGACACATTAAATCATGGTCTTTTATTTATACTTGGGCTCCCAAGTGATTGTATGGTTTTACTGCCAAATGTATTTGAGAAATCAATTTAAGTGCTGCAGGTTGAACATATCTTTGGTGACATATCACTGTTAGTACTGACCCAGGTGGATCTGCAGTCTAAGGCACTCATTGGTAGCAATCCCCCTGCGTCTTGACTGTGTCTCTAGCTGGTGAGTGGCTGGGAAACCCTGTGACCAACGCATATTGGCCAGCAGGACCTGGTGAGCTGGTTGGCAGTGATGTTGTGTTGGTAGTCACTGCTTTAATCCATCGTTAGCAAGACATTTAATAAAGATTTAAATGTACTAATACATTAAAATTGTAATAACACTATGGGTGTAATACAACAGACTAAACAGGAAGTCACTGTGTTTTAACCCACAGAGGCCGTCTCTAATGTGAAGATAACTCCTGATAGGACAGACTTAGTGGAGTACAACAGCTCTGTCACTCTATCATGCTCCTCCTCTGGCTCCTCCCCATTCTCTTACCGCTGGCTGAATGGCAGCTCTGAGGTCACAGCCGGTGATGGAGTTCTAGTTGATGCTACCGGACATATGACCATAACCAGTGTGACGCGGTATGACAGAGGACCATACTGGTGTTTGGTGTCTAACCCTGTCAGCAACAATGTCAGCAGTGAGCCTCTAACCCTCATCATCAGATGTGAGTGTCTAACTGGCATTTATTTATTGCCTCTCATCCACTTGTTGACGGAGAGATTTAAGTAGAACAATGATTCTAATCATTCATGTAGTTTGTGTTGTCATCTGTTATTTTACCTTTATAGCACCGCTTCTCAGATTGTCTCTAATTGATAATGGTGCTATATTATATAGTTAATTCTTACGCTCTTGCATGTCCCAGTTGTATATAGCTACCATATTGCATGTCCCAGTTGTATATAGCTACCATATTGCATGTCCCAGTTGTATATAGCTACCATATTGCATGTCCCAGTTGTATATAGCTACCATATTGCATGTCCCAGTTGTATATAGCTACCATATTGCATGTCCCAGTTGTATATAGCTACCTTATTGCATGTCCCAGTTGTATATAGCTACCCTATTGCATGTCCCAGTTGTATATAGCTACCATATTGCATGTCCCAGTTGTATATAGCTACCATATTGCATGTCCCAGTTGTATATAGCTACCATATTGCATGTCCCAGTTGTATATAGCTACCATATTGCATGTCCCAGTTGTATATAGCTACCATATTGCATGTCCCAGTTGTATTAGTACCCTATTGCATGTCCCAGTTGTATATAGCTACCATATTGCATGTCCCAGTTGTATATAGCTACCATATTGCATGTCCCAGTTGTATATAGCTACCCTATTGCATGTCCCAGTTGTATATAGCTACCATATTGCATGTCCCAGTTGTATATAGCTACCCTATTGCATGTCCCAGTTGTATATAGCTACCCTATTGCATGTCCCAGTTGTATATAGCTACCATATTGCATGTCCCAGTTGTATATAGCTACCATATTGCATGTCCCAGTTGTATATATCTACCTTATTGCATGTCCCAGTTGTATATAGCTACCATATTGCATGTCCCAGTTGTATATAGCTACCATATTGCATATCCCAGTTGTATATAGCTACCATATTGCATGTCCCAGTTGTATATAGCTACCATATTGCATGTCCCAGTTGTATATAGCTACCCTATTGCATGTCCCAGTTGTATATAGCTACCATATTGCATGTCCCAGTTGTATATAGCTACCATATTGCATGTCCCAGTTGTATTAAGCTACCATATTGCTGGGTTGCTCATGGCTGTTTGATGGTGATGGGATGTTGATGTAGATGCCAACTGATTTTGGTGACGTGGATCCAAGATGAACCCTATCATGTTGGTGTAGACCCTGTGAACGTGGTCTAGAACGCATCTCTGTTCATCCCATTTGATTATCTATTAACATGATTGTTTTAAATGGACCGTTCATTACAGTTGGTCCAGAAATGGTCACAGTGGAGGTGATTCCTGTAGAAGATCTTTATGGATCGGGATCAGATCTCACTCTGTACTGCACAGCTGTGTCCGATCCTCCTGCCCAGTTTCAGTGGGCTTTGAATGGCACGATGCTATCCAATAAAGGACCAGAACTCAGTCTGAAGAACATTCAGGCCAGTCAGAGTGGTAGCTACATCTGTTGGGCCCATAACGCCATAACCCTGAGGTACAAGACATCTGAGCCAGCAAACATCACTGTGATACGTAAGTGGCAGAGTGGAGATGGAGATAGTACGTTTCCCAGGGTTGTCACAACTGACATTGATATTCAATTCATGTGACGTCTGTCAGTGTTGTCTAGAAAGATGACATGTTGTTCTTGGAAGGGAATTGTAGGAACAGTTGGTAGCTCAGTGGTAGAGTGCATGCTTTGTTTGTACGACGTCCTTGGTTCAAATCCCAGCTGCTCCCCAGGTCGCCGTTGCAAATAAAGGTTACATTTAAAAAAACTTTAAACAGTGAAACCATCAAAAGTTAGTAATAAATGTAATTTAATTGTGGTATATTTGAAACTTATGGACACTCTGTCTAAGTACCTGACAAGACAGCCTTTATTTTTGCACCATATAGGCTTATATTATCTCACTCTGAACACCATAGCTAAGTCTCCTTGGTTGGACTTCAATGCAAGATAACATCTGGATTTTGCTTTTGTGTCCTTTTTTAACTGAAGGGGGTATATTGAGTTGTATTTTTTTTAATTGAACCCCACCTACCCAATAAAATAAAACAGCAAAAAACACAACAAGGTGCCAAAAGACAAAGATTGACACACAACCCTGTAATTTTGACTCAAGTGAAACCAAAGAAACATGTGCGAATATATATGTATTATTATTAGTACTTCTTTTATGTCCATCAAATAAATGATGATGGTCTTGCCAAAATAAAAGCTTAAAATTGTATAACTGATAAATACACCATCATACAACATGTTTTATCGTTTTTATTGTTGTATTCATAGAAAAATATGCAAAAAAATAATATTTGGCTGCCAAAGTGCCATTTTTTTCTTACACATTTTCCGGGAAAACCATTAAATGCACACCCCTTGCATGTTTTGAAATAGTTTTTCATCTCTGTAGACAGTTAAATGTGCCTCACATATTCATGCAACCATTATTTGTATTTCTTTTACAGAAACAATAATTAATGCTGAAATCAAAATATCCCCAAACACTCCAACCATTGAGGGAAGTTCCATTACTTTAACCTGTGATGCTTTCGGCTCAAACATCACCAGAGAGTGGAAAAAAGATGACTTGTATCTGTTGGCTGTAGGCAATATATCCATCTCTGATGATAAAAAGACAGTATCCATTAAGCACGTGAAGAAAAGTGATGAAGGGAAATACCTTTGCAATCTCGTCAACCCAGTCAGCAGTGCTGCAGTAGAATACACTCTGACTGTACATCGTAAGTAGTCTTCTATAGGAATGTTTTATTACTCTTAACTGTGTGAAGATAACTATTAAGTTTTTTCTCAAGAACAAATATTCAAACATGTTTTTGTCTAATGTTGGGTTCTCTCTCTGGTATTTACAGCAGATGGTTATGTAGAACCAGGTGGACTGTCTGCTGGTGCCATTGCTGGGATTGTGATTGCAGTATTGGTGGTTGTGTTAAGCATAATTGGTTTAGTGATCTACATCAGCAAGAGAAAATGGTAATGTTCTTATAAACTGTGATTTTTATAATGATTGCATTGTAATGACATTGCAAGTAGAACATATTCCACCAGCAGTTTGCATGACACTGTGGTACTATAGAGTCCACAGGAATACTGTAAACCCATATTATTACTGCATTTATGTTTATTTTGGCTTAATGTGTCTGGTACGTGTAACCATGTTCCATCTGTCTTACTTTTACTAACTCTGCATGATGTTAACTCTGAACAGGGCAAATGGGTTTTTTGACCATGTAATAATTCAACTTTATTTTAAACTGGCAAATAGAAACTAAACTGGTACCTGTTAGCCACGAGAAAAAAGCGAAAAAAAGGTCCTTGAAATATTAAATGTGTCATTATTAAATAAAAGTCCATTGAAATAAACAAATGTGGCATTGTGAAATTATAAAGATACTGACTTCAATTTTTCTACCTCAGCAACTTCATGACAAAATCCTCCGGTGGAATGAGTGTTGGCAACAGTAAGTAAACCCTGTGTCTGTGTTTGTGTGCTAAGTCCAATTAAATTCCTTAAGACTGGTCGTGGTTCTGTTGAACCAACAAGGGGTCTAACTTGCATATTGTGTACAATATGTGGCCTATGTCATAAAGAATCATGTTAAAACTCGGAATTGAATAGTTATGGGGATGATTCCACATAACATGTGTATTATGTACACATATTATACATCTTTCACAAAAATAGAATGTTTGAACGATTATATTCGTGATCATTTGCAACTGTATCTAGTACATTTTCTCACTTCTATGTCAGTTTTATTAGCCAGAATCAACACAATTGTTATATTTTTGTTTCCACTCCTATTTAGTCTGATAGCGTCACATCCTGACATGGCAAAGATCCAACGTCCTCACCCCCATTTGCATCACAGGCACCTGTTTTGTCATTTATTGCCCTCACCTGTTTCCCTAATCACTGTCCCTTTTAAAGTTCATCTTTTCCTAGTGTGTCTTGTTGTCATTGTTTAGTTAAGCCATATGTAAAGTCTTCATTAATGTACTATATTCTCCCAGTATCCTGCTTACGCTTCAACGTTATCTTTAACATTTTGGATAACTATTTGTTTAAAAAATATATATGAGTCTTTAAGACAGTTACAAATTAATTGTCTATCCACCAGGCCCACAAGGAAAGTAAAAAATGCCCCTCAGACTGCTTAGCAATGTCATGTCCCAATAGGAGATGAAGGAGGAATCCAGACAAGAGAGGATGAGGTTTATATGCTTCCTTTTAATAATGATGATTAATTACCGGCACTGCAACACATGCACTGCCCAGTGAGGAAATAAGAAACAAAGTGACGCAGCTCTAATGATCAGTCCCTTTAGGGGAATACTGATGTCAACATAAATCTAATAATCTATTCGATATAATTCAATTCGATTTGATACAATACGGGACACGTAACATGCAACAACAACTCACAAAGACCGGGCCAAACACAGGGGACTTATATACAAACTAACAAGGGATAATGGGCACCAGGCGTGTGATAATGACGAGACAGACAATGTGATGAGAAAAGGGTGGCACTAGTAAGCCTGCCCGTTGATGGCTGTAGACTGGCCTCGGGAGGAGCTGTCACCAGATTTGTCACAAGCAATATAAATTTGAAGAAGTCAGACGTCTTTGCTCCTCGTTCGTCAATTCAGATTTTGGAAAACGAGAGCAGTTAAAGCAGCTTGGGTTGCCGAATGTGAAACATGCTATCAATCATTAAAGTGCATAGTTGGTAGCTGGAGTAGGCAGCATTTTCTCTTGAAAACTGTTGGAGGGACTGCAATTTCTTTTTAATGATGCACAAATATGAGGTGCTTTATCAGTGTTGTGTTTCCCTACTTGCAAGACATTTACATGAATGGCATTCTGCTTCCTCCTTATCTTTGGTTTTAATAAAATGTAGCCAAGCCTTTGACCGCTTAGCACCAAGCAACGAAAGAGAAATGTAGTGAATGAGGGCGTGAGTCAATTGAATTGCTCGTTTATTTTTAAGGTGGTTGGCTAGCAATTTAATTGAATTTATGTCAATCTATTTGCGCACCAGTGATTTGATTTAAATGAAATTACTGTTGTCTCTCTCGTTATATTACACGACCCAGTGATATTCGATAGCAATATCGATAAGCTCGGACCTTATTTATTTCTGGGTTATGAGAAATATGCAAACGGTTCTTTAATAGAACTAGGTCTCGATACCCATTCCTACTCGTGACATGTATGTTGTGTTTAGCCTATTGGAGCGATAAAAATTGCTGGTACAGACATAGGTACAGATAATATATTATGTTTTTTAAACGTAACTGAAGTATTTTAATTTTGTTTAATTTAAAATAACCAGTGTGCTTCAAATTTCATTATTCTATTTATATGTGAAGAGGCGATCGAGCCATTATGACATCACCCCGAGGCAGCATATATAGTGAGAACAAAAGTGGTCATAAACCGAGCCTTGAGGAACACCGAAGCATAACTTTGATTTGTCCCAAAATAAGCCATCCACACAAACGAACTGAAGTCTATCTGATAAATAAAATCTAAGCCCTTGTTGATGTGAGGCTGCCGTACAGCTGCTTGGTCATGTGAAATTCCCAGTGCACAGTTCTTGTAGAACCCTGTGGTGAGTAATGCAACAGATGATAGACGATTTTAACACGTTATGTGCACCCACCCTGTGGGTTTGGGTGCGCATCCTGTGACAGAGCCTCTTGTACTGCCAATGTATGTCCATGGAGATTTGATGGCGATGTGCTCGATTTATGGTCTGAAACACCCGAATTCAATAATTAGTGGGGTTGTCCACATGTTCATATTGTGTATCTGGATTATATCAAGTCTTTGCTTGCCATAATTATTTACACAGACACAGAATTATAACGCCAACATACAAATGTCATCAATTGTTATCATGTAGTCATCATGTTGTTGATTTTGTTGTGATGTTTGTCCTCTAAACTATTAACTACATACTCAACTTTATCTCTCCCAGCAGGTACAATATCTGACGTTAACGTGGTACCAGCAGATGACAAGGTAATCACTAACAAGGTATTACAGTTGACTGTACTGAAGGTGACCAGAGAAGCAACTGGTCTGTTCTATTCAGGGTGAAAAGAGCTGCTCACTGGGATGTGCTATAATGATAATGTTGTCTGGGTTTTGTTTCCTGAACCAATTAGCTCACCCGACACCCTAACACAAAATCGCTCTGGCTCAATTGTCATAGTTCGCCCCTGTTGACTCCCTAGTCAGAACGATAATTTGAAACCATAGTTTTTTTCTCTGAACATTTTCATATAAACCAATCCTTCATAGTTTGTTGGGTTTTGGATTGTTCTCAGTCATGATGATTTAATTTGAATTCAGCAATCAGTTGTTACAAGATGCATTTCCAGATCCCTGCATACAACCTTAAAGATCAAGCAGTGCAACTTATATTTTATTTTAGATCAGGCTATGAATAGGATAAACTTGTTTGTCGCTTTGGAAGTGACTGCAACGTGTGAAATATTATCTCCTCTGCTTCTAGGAGCTGAACTATGCGTACGTCAGCCATTTCCAGAAGGCTGATCAGTCTGTTCAACTGGGGAACCAGAATACTCCATCCACAGTGTATGCTCAGGTCAGAGTCAACGGGTCTGCTCAGCCCGTCCAACCACCCACACATGAAGACCAGTTCCCTGCGTACTCTAAGGTGAAAAAGCCTGCACCTAAGCCCGC